CCGTCCCCACCTTCGTCTTGTCCATCACTGCCACCACGCAGGCGAGTAGGGTTTGGGCTGAGCCGAGAGCAGCGTCTCGCTCCATAGCGGGCAGCAGTTACTTACCCAAGTGTCTTCTCCATCCAGGCTTTGGCTTTGATAGAGCTGTACAACGCTCCCGAAGGCCGCTACAAGCAAGACGTGTACTTGCTGCCTAAGAAAATGGGTAAAGATGTACTCGTTGCCTTCTCCTTTTTGGTTTTGAGATTGAACAGATGGGAGGTTTTGCTAGGCTGGGCTGAGGACGGCAGGGCACCGCAGCCTCCTGGGCTCTCTTGTTTGCCTCCCTGCCAAGCTCAGGGTCTTCCAGCAAGTTCTTCCCACTGGGTCTGGGCTCTTCGCTAAATTGGACGCGTTGTTTCTCTGTCCCACCTGGGGAAAACAGGCTGACGCACTTGGCCGACCGCAGGAGTCCATCTGCGCTGATGCAGGGGATTTTCATGTAGGGCTCCTGCCAGCAGAGCTGCCATCGTTGGCTGCCAAGACATGTAGTCCCTGACCAACGGCTCTGCCAGCGGAACCCCCTCCTGAGGACACAAGCCATGCTGACCACGCTTTTGCTGCAAAACTGGACTTTTCTGTGTTAACTGTATTTTTTGAGACCAGGTGCAGCTTGTCCCAAGCTTGGGCGTTAGGTGTCACCTACCAGAAATGTCCAATGCTCAGTAGAGCATCCAGGCTTGCCCAAGGGTACGGTGCAACACAGCAGCAGATCCAGGAATCCTGCTAGAAGGGTATTTCAGAGAAAGGTTTTCCCCTCTAACTCAAAATAGACGAGAGCCTTGGTTTTCCCCGTTCAGGGTGAAAAGCAGTCCTGCAATTTAGCAGCAAAGGCGTGAGGAGTGATGCCTTTCCCAGCTGGGGCTTTAGGGACTTGGTGCACAGCAGGAGGGGACTCGTTGCCTTCCCCTTACCCATAATAATGAGGCTTGAAATCGTTTCAGACGAGTACGTGGCAAGCCTTCACCTCCCAACGTTCGATGCCCACCTGACGGAACTAACGGATGAACAAGCAAAATACCTGGGACTGAATAAGAACGGACCTTTCAAACCAAACTACTACAGGTGCTGCTCCTCAGCCTCTCTCTTTCTTCTGCCGTGAGCGTGGGGTACGCGTGCGGGGGGGGCAGAGGGGACGGGGTTTAATCCCACCGGTCCCCTGAGAAGATACCACGGGCTTTCTGATAATTCCCATCGCCACGTAGAATCATAGAATCATAGAATCATAGAATCATTAAGGTTGGAAGAGACCTCCAAGATCATCGAGTCCAACCGTCAACCCAACACCACCATGCCCACTAAACCATGTCCCTCAGCGCCTCATCTACACGTCTTTTAAATACCTCCAGGGATGGTGACTCCACCACTTCCCTGGGCAGCCTGTTCCAATCTTTAACCACTCTTTCAGTAAAGACATTTTTCCTCACGTCCAATCTAAACCTCCCCTGGCACAACTTGAGGCCGTTTCCTCTCGTCCTTTCGCCAGTTACTTGGGAGAAGAGACCGACCCCCACCTCGCTACAGCCTCCTTTCAGGTAGTTGTAGAGAGCGATGAGGTCTCCCCTCAGCCTCCTTTTCTCCAGGCTTTCACGTAGAAAGTGATCTTTCCTTTCACGTAGAAAGTGATCTGGCCAGGAAGGGGACGGCGCGGTTGGAGCTGTGACGCGGAGCGCTCGGCAGGACACGAGCCCTTTGTATCTGGCAGCAGCTGTCACCCAGACGGGGCAAATGGCAGAACGATGCCATCCGGCCAACTCAGATGACAGCTTTATTTTTAAAGTTTGACGAAGGATGAGATGGTGCAGAGCAGCGTTCGCCCCTTGTGCCAGGGGCTGCTGGGGTGGGCTCGGCTCAATGGCTCTCCTCCCCCAGCGCGGGCTCTGCTGATCCCCCCAAAATAATAACAATTTTCAATGTGAGCCCCTGGGTCGCTTCCCTTTCCAGGCTTACGTTTGTAGCCAACACTGCAACGTGTTTTTTACCGTGAAAATGAAATGGCTTTGCACAAACACGGATCACCCTGGGGGGGCGGTTCGAAGCCTCGATCCTTTTCTTGCAGGAAAAGGCATTTTCTTGGCGTGCAGGTCTTCAGCGCTCACGCGAGAGCAACGCCGCACCAAAATGCTCCAGTTTGGGGGTTTGGTGGGTTTTTCCAGCTCCTGAGCTTTTTTTTTTCCTGCCCCTGTCCTACGTGCAAAATTATTACTGTGCAGCTGCACCGCCATGCCCTCCCGTGGAGGACTTTCCTCCAGTTCAGTTTTCTTCGCCCGGTTTCGGTGTCTGGCTGTAGTCCCGACCTTGCGGGGAGTGTGGTTTGCCCCATGCGCGGAGAAGTTGGGATAAGTAGAGGGTCGCGGCAAACTCCCTGCATCAAGGGAGAGCCATGCCGGCTCAAACGTCCCCCGTGCACCGTGGGGTGGAGATGTACTCGGGCAGCTTCGCCTTGGTGTCCTGCAGGAATTTAAGCCTCCAGGTACGAAAGGCAAAGAGTCGAGTTTTCCAGAGTTCCCTGTTTTGACGTGTAGGTGCGTGGGACGGGAGGTGAGAGGAGATCTCCGGGTGCACGTAGCCTCTTTTGCTGGATACAACAGGCGATTAGACTTCCTCCCCAGGCAGCTCAACAGCTTGCTTCGTTAAAGCAAGCACCTCTCGCTCCTTACACGTAGCTTCGTTTGCGATATGAATTATCTGCTTTTAGTTCCCAGTCTAGCGGGAGCCTTCCTGATAAATTCAGCCAGTTTGAGCCAGGCTTTGGTGTTTAAGGCATTTGCTCTCGCATCTTCAAGCGCATCCTCCCCGGTTTCTGAGCCGACGTTGCCGCAAGCCGGTGAGACTCAGTCCCTGAGTCGATCGGGCGCCGTTGAATTTTCCCCTTCCGTACTCGAAGCGAGAGGCAGTGTTGAGGCAGCGAGGGCAGGCGGTTAAATATAATGCGGTATTTAGAATCATAGAATCATAGAATCATTAAGGTTGGAAGAGACCTCCAAGATCATCGAGTCCAACCGTCGACCCAACACCCCCATGCCCACTAAACCATGTCCCTCAGCGCCTCATCTACCCATTTTTTAAATACTTCCAGGGATGGTGACTCAACCACTTCCCTGGGCAAATTTGTGGGGGAGGAGATGAGGACCGAGTCCCTTTCTCAATCATTTCTTTTCTTGGTGTCTACCCCTCCCAAAATACAGCGTGTTGATGCTGGCGGAGCTTTGCGTCTCCTCCCCAGCAGCTCACCAAAACCGCGTTTTCTCTTCTTTTCCCCAGATATTAAGTTCCTGCCGCTGTATCCTGGAGAATCGCGAGGAACAAGAACCCAAGTCTTTTCTCAACTACTGTACAGGATGAAACAGCGCAAGCTTCCTAAGTTAGAGCCGGGCTTGCTCACATAGTAGACAGTGTGTTTAGGTTATTTATTTATTAAATTAGAATACTGTACATGCGGCCTCTGCCACTGGTGTTCGTACTGCCGCGGGACTGGGAGACGGTGGATTTCTTTCCGTTTGTTTCATTTTTCTCTTTGGGTTGTTCTTTTTCGGGGCTGGGAGGATGGGGGAGGCGAGGAAGAAGCTGGTGGAATGGAATTGCTGCGATGTACGTGGAATAGTCCGTTATCACCGTTAATCCGACACGCACGATGGGAGCCGCGGGATCCGACTTCGAGGTCGCACGTTGCTTTTGGTTTCCTTCGCATCCCAGCGCTTCTTCCAGCGGAGCAGGATCCCGGCAGCCGTGAGAGCCGGCCGGAGGGCGGCCGGGTTTGCATTTCTCATGCCATTTGACAACGCGGCTAAAAACCTCGTTCGCTCCAGGCGCCGCCGACCAGCCGGGTGCCGCCTTGGCAGCGAAGCGGTAAATGTCGCCGGCGATCGCTGGAGAAACCTCTCGTAATTCTGCCGAACTGCCCGAGGGACGGTTCTGCCAGCGAGTCGGTGAACTTCGCCTTAGCACTGCTGAAAGCTGTAACGAAGGGTCCGGTCGTTAGCGTCAGCCAGGGATAGCCCCTAGCATGCGGTAGGAGCCAGGAGGGCAGAGCGGAGCCCGCTCGGAGGCAGACCCTAACGGATGTGGTGGTGGTGGGGTAGGACCCACCACCGCTCCCTTCTTCGCAGCTCCGCAGTATTTTCCTGCTGCTTACGTTACGAGTGCCAACCTCCTACGGTTCAACCAAAGTCGTATTCCCGGTGGGGCTACGGGGCAGCCTTGCGTGCCCGCGCTGGTGGAAGAGCCTTGCAACCTCGCTGACAAATGCTGCTCACGTGTCGGGGAGCTCTTCCAAACCCAAGCGGAGCTCGTCGGCCATCCCGGCTGGGAGGACCCCTGTCCACGCGAGGTCTTTCTCCAGCTGAATTTCAGTCCTCGTTGGAAATCTTTGGAGTTTTATTTTCTAGTAGTATTCGCGTGATGAAATCTGGAAATCCCCTTTGAGTGTGAGAGACGTACGCCAGAGTCATCCCCACCCTGATTTTGTGCGCGGGGAAGAGTTTAGCATCACTAAACCCCTTCAATCACCTCAAATCTTGATGCATCAGAGCCGATGGAGAACAAATTTGCCATAGTTACTTGTTTTAGCCCAGGATGTCCCACCTGAACGCTGCGGACGGCACGGCACGCTCACCGAGGTGACTTTCCAAGTCTCCATGTCTCATCGGAGTCACTTTTCACATGGAGAACAGGGACCTTCTAAAATAAAATTGCCTGATCCTATAAGCTCAAAAGCCTTTATCCTGTGGTTGCTGCTTTGGTACCCGAGTCCCTCATCAGCCACAGATTCTTCTTTTGTCCTCGCGGACTTCTTTGCCATCATGAAAAAACTCTTTTGTGGCAGCTCGTTCACGCACAAGAAAGGAAAAACTGTGGAATTACGATCTCAGCGGCCGAGTACTTCTCGTGGCTCTTGATGCCGAGGTCTGAAGACGGCTTGACCACAAGCTGCTCGTCTTTGGAGCAAACCCCCTCGTATGCTTGCTTATTCCAAGTTTCGCTTTGAAATTTCTCAAAGCCTAGAAGTAAGGCTTTGAGAAGACCTTGAGAAGACTGTGAGGAGACGTCAGGCCTTTGAGAAGACTTTGAGGAGACCTTGAGAAGACCTTAGGCCTTGGAGAAGACTTTATCATAGACTGATCACTAACCACAAACTCAAAATAATCTCTACTCACTCATGAATTTTATCCAGATCCTGAGATTTTTGGGAAGGGTCCCCCGAGCTATTTGAAACGTCACGTTCGGGTCTTTCCCCACGCTGGGTTACCTTGGTCTGCATCAGCCGATGAACCCCCGAGTTTCTCTGGTTCTCTGCAGATGCGCAGCGTGAAATCCTGCTCTCGGCCGAGGTGAAACGCGGTTGCAGGGTCACGTTGAGCAAAGCAGCTTTTGGAAAATAGGTGTCCCAGCCGCAGCCGCTTCTGCCCCGGGAAAATCCCTCTCCATCCGCATGACCCTTCGGTACAGCTCACGCAGTCGCTTACCTCCCCCGTGTCCGTCGCTTGTGCAGCATACGGTGGTGCTGTCCTCATCCGTGAATTCCTTCGTGCCGATTTTTAAGCCCGTTTTATCTTCCAGGTAGATAGGAGAAAAAGAAAAAAGTAATAATAAAATCCTAACTGGCTTTTCCCACCTCGATTTTTAAAGCTCTTCTCCATGTTGTTCTGCTTCTTCTGTAAGCTTTTTTGCTTGCTTGGCTTTTTCCTAATCAATCTGGAATCATATTCTGTGAACATCTCTAAATTAAACGTGTAATTTTTTTTTTTTTTAAATGTAACACATTTTTAAAGAATTAGGAAAAAGGAGATTTAGGTAACACCAGCAAAATTGTATAAGGAAATTAATTCTGTTCTGAACTTTAGAAATAATAAGACAAAACCTGTCATCAGCCTGCAGTGAGGAAACAAAAACTTTGCAAACGTAACATTTTCAAAAGGATGTTTTAAATATTAATGTCTGAGTGATTGTATTAGATCAGCAATAAAGACTCTGTAATCTCAAAACACAAATAAAACATTGGAAAACTCAGCTTCTCCGGAGTCTCTTTCGGGTCTGGCAGGAGCAGATCTGGAGTTTTTTGGGCTGGGGGG